TTTCGATTGGTTGATCAATGCATCGTCTCATTACTAGATTTGGAAATTTTGTGTAACAGGGGACGGTCCCTCCTGGATATCCGGAGTCGACGAGTGACGATCTGTCACGTGTAGTTATTATTGAATAAAAAAACGCGTCACTATATAAACTAACGCGTATAAACTTGTTCTGATTTACTTGATTTACTAATTCGTTATGACTGCCGTACTAAGATCTACGAATTTCTTAACCTTTAAGATTCCTGATAATAAAAAAGCCCATAGTTATTTTAAAAACGTAGAGGCCAGGTACTGGCAATTGAAGCATTACCTAGGCTTTCGTTTGAAAACCGACGAAATAATCTTACCGTGGAATACTGTATATGACGATTGGAGACAAACACTCTCTTATATTTTCAAGGACTATTATAAAATAGTTCCAAGCTCTGTATCTGCTTTTTGTAAAGATTTATATTATATTTGTGACACGTTTGAAGGCACCGTCGTACGGGAAATTGTGAAAAGTTCTATAATGAATTTTATCAACTGCATCTCGATCAGCAAATTGCCGAAAGAATCCGTCAACTTGATTGTACAGTGTTTTCGGAACGTAAAATTTCGGAAGTTTTACGAATGTCAAATAAAAAGCGATTTGTTGAAGCAGAATCTTCCAGTGGAAAACGAGCTCGGCATTTCACACCCGAATCAGAATTGGTTTGTACTTAAATCCATATTGTTTGCTGTGTGGTGTAGTATGTTATCGACATATTCTTACTTATCTTTACAAGCCCCAAGATCACGAAGAATATGAAGATGAAAACAAGCTGAATCTTTCGAATGAGGAGGTATAAAAATTCTTAGTTAAAATTATTGTTTAACAATGTTAATTAACTTACAACTTCCCGGACAGTCCGATTTATGTAACAACCAAGAAGAAAACATTGATGAGTATGATGCTGAAGCAATAAGAAACCTGTTAAATGAATCAGAGACACGTTCACAGGAGATGAACACAATTTTATCCAATTTTCGAACATACCAACATGAAACCAGGAATATACTTTCGGAAAATGGGATAATGGACTTGAGTCCGACATCAGAATTTGTTCTTCTATATACAAAAGAAACGGATTATTATAAACTGATAGAAGAAATTTTTGAACCGATCGACAAGATGTTTCCAGAAGAAGCGCATGAATTTCTAACCAATTTCTTTTCAGAGGTGATTGTTATCCAAACTCTTTTTATAGGAATATTAGATTTTTTTTGCCTTACCATCATCTTATTTACAGAAATTGAACGAGGATCAGTGGGAAGAGAAACTTGAAGGTTTGATGGAAGTTAAAGGGAATCCAGAAAGTTTTTGTCAGCAATCCGGGGAGAATTCAGGACAGGATAAATTTATTACAATTTTAAAAAGATTCTTGTTAGAAACATTACCAATATTGTAAGTATTTGGAAAGTGCTTCTTTTTTTTTTAGAGATATTAACATTCACTATTTTCTAGTCTTGATGCCTATAAACTGATGTCAGAGAATCCGCTTAAGGATCGTGAAATGGCAGAAGATGAATATATGAATACCTTCGTTCATCCCATCTTAAAGAAAGCACTCATTCGATTTTCTGGGATCCGATATGTTCCGTAAGAATAGATTTCAACTTTTTTATCACATTATTATGTAGCTGTATTATGTTTAACTTTATCGTGCTCTGTAGAGGTAACAAGGCTATTAAAGCTTCTGCTTATCGAAAAACTGTAATGAATCAAGATGGTAATGCAGATCGTGCAGATGGCATTGCATATACAACGAATCAGCAAAATTCTTATGAGATCTCCGTTACTGAAGGCAGTAGACCATATGTTATTGAAATGAATAAGGAAACAAATGATTTCATCCAAAATGCAAGAGCAGCGAAGGATATGATCAACTTTGCAGTGACACGAGAAGTATTGCATAAACGGGCACTGCCATCATACTTTCGTACGTTCATGGTTCAGGTTTTTGAGTTTAATCTACGTTTTTATTTCATGGACTATCTCGGTATGTGCACATATCAGTATTTAATATGATAAAAATCATAAACTAACTTTTTTCTCATTTTATAAAAGCACAGTATTGTATTTTTGAGATTGAAACATGTGAAATACCTACGGATTGGAAAGAAACCCTTCAGTTTACTTCTTTTTACAGGGCAATTGTGACATGGGCGGTAAGTCTGTCGTTTTTATTTTTTTTATGAGGAATTTCTTCTTACTGATTTACATTTCATTTTGTAGTTATTGGTTGGGAAAGCCGACAAAAAATTTCAGGAATCCAGAAATAAAAGGAGTTCTCGTCTAAGCAACTGCAATAACATTCGAAAACTGGTAAAACTTTCACATAATAATGCTATGACGATGACCAAGCTTATGAGTGATATTAAATTTTATCATTTCATAGGAAAATTCATTGTACTTAAACATTGATGTAAAATTAATCCTTAAATATTAAAACTACAGAGGGCCGCCAAAAGTCTCCGAACACCATTTTTTAGGTGTGATTTCATGCCGTTAACATCATGTGACTTAAT